AGGCCGCCGAGGGTTTTCAGGGGGGCGGGGAGCCGGCCATCCCCTGCCTGCCCGTCCCACCCCAGCCCAGTGAGCATCCGATGCCCGAGGTGGGCGGGGGGTACAGCCCAGGCAGGCTTTCCAGCTAGCTGTCTGAAGGACTTCCTGCGCTGGGCAGGGAGGGGGCCCTCCCGGATGGTGAACCCCCAGACTCAGCCCTCACAGCCCTCCCTGCAGAGGCTGACAGTGGTGAGCTTGTCCTCCACCGAGCTGGGACTGAACGTGGGGACCCGGAAGGTGCCCCAAGACTGCAGGCTGGACCCTGGCGGAAGCTAGGGCCCGGTGCCCTCTCCCAGCAGAGCACACACCCAACGCTTGTCATACGGTGTCAGGGGCTCAGAACCCCTGGTCTAGGTGACATCACGGCCCCCTTCAGAGCTGCCGTCCTAGGACTCCCAGGAGCCCCTCAGGCTCCACCCTGAGAGCTTCCTGCTGCGGAGCCGATGAGACCTCAGTCTTGTGAGTCTGATGCAGACAGCCAGGTCGGGGGAGGCCCGACCCAGGCCTGGCAGGAGAGGAGTCTTCTGGGGGCTGGGAGCCCTGCCCAGCCTGGCTGCTCTGGGGTTTCTGCAGGCCCGCGTGCATATGGTTTCCTGCTGAGCAAGATGCTCAGGGCTAATTGGGAGCAGGTGGTGGGCTTGGCAGAGGCCGCCGAGTTCAGGCGGCGATGTGGGCTGGGTAGGCCTGGGTCCCAGGGATGGGCCTGGGGTCCCATCGATGGGCATCGGATCCCGGGGATAAGCCTGGGGTCCTGGGGATGCACTTTGGGTCCCACTGATGGCCTGGAGTCCTGGGGGCAGTCCTGGGGTCCCGGGGATGGGCATGGGGTCCTGGGAATGAGTCTGGGGTCTCGGAGACAGGCCTGGGGTCCCAATTCATACAGTGCCTGGAACACCAGGGAGGTGCTGGGCCAAGGGGGTGGGTGTGGGTGTGGGTGAGAATGGTCAGGGCCAGGACGTTTATAATGTCCCCTTAGTGAGCAGGGCGGGCAGAGTCTGTCTGCCAAGATCAGCCTGGAGCCAGGTGGGAGGCCTTGTCCCTTGTGGCCAGACGCCGGCTGGGCCAGAAGGGACTGCCGACGTGACTCCAAAGTGGTCCCCACGCCCGGCCCTCCGGATGCCCGGGCGCTTTCCTGGGTGCCTCCTGCTCCAGGCCGAATTCAGGGACCCCAGGTGGGCTGTGGCCCTGGGGGCGTGGCCCGGGGACAGCTCCCCCGCTCCTCTTCCTCCAGCCGTCCCCTGACACCATCCCAGCCTGCCTCTCTGTGGCCATGAGAGCCGCCTGCCTCTTCCTGCTCTTCCTGCCTGGTAAGCGGCTCCCGAGGCGGGAGTGGCTCCCCTTGTGTGGGGCGGGGAGAGGGATCTGGCGGGGGACTCGCAGTGAGCCTTTGTCACGCCCAGAACTCAGCTCCCGCCCCCCCACCTGCCTGGACCACAGACTGCACAGACCACCCCTCCCAGAGTCCAAGGGCAGCTCCTGGGCCCTCCACGGCCTCCCCTGCAGCAGACAGGCGGGAAACTGGAGGCACCGGGTGCCCGTGCATTCCCTCTTCCTCCCCACCCCTCCTGGGAGCCAGCCTGCGGGTGTCGGGGGCACCTGCAGCAGGGAGCCCGGAGGCCTGAGCTCTAGACCATGTGGGGCCCTGCCGCCCTGTCCCATCCTGACCTGGGGCGGGTTCCTGTTGGCCAAATGAGCTATCTGTGAGGATCACAAAGATCTGCCAGGTCCAGCGTCGACTCACGCCCTCACTCAGCAGATATGGGTTGCGTTTCTACCGTGTGCCAGGCACTGGGCTAGGCTCCGGGGATACAGCCATGAACCAGCAGCTAAATCCCTGCCCTCATCGTGCTGCCAGTCTAGGGAAGGAAGACCCATCTTAAACAAGATGTGGGGCATGGTGGCTCACGCCTGTCATCCCAGCACTTTGGGAGGCGGAGCGAGAGGATTGCCTGTGTCTCGGGGTTCAAGAGCAGCCTGGGCAACTTGGCGAGGCCTTGTCTCTACATATAAATAAAAAAATTAGTGAGGCATGGTGGTGTGCACCTGTGGTTCCAACTACTTGGGAGGCTGAGGCAGAAGGATCACCTGAGCCCAGCAGGTTGAGGCTGCGGTTGCCGTGAGCATGCTACTGCCCTCCAGCCTGGGTGACAGAGGGAGATTCCGATTCCAAGAAATCCCCAAAAACCTAAGTTTCAGATTGTGTCCAGCGCTGCGATGGAAATATGCAGGAGGGTGGGCAGATCAGGGGCAGCCTCTCAGCAGAGCTGAGGTTTCAGTTAGGACCCGAAGGAGAAGCTGCCCGGGGATCACAGGCCTAGGGACGGTCAAGTGCAAAGCCTTGAGGCAGGCAAGAGGGCGTAGAGTCCCACGCGTGGCTGGGAGGCCATTAGGGGGACGGGGCAGGCGAGGTCAGGGAGGTGAGGCGGGAGCAGGGTGTGCGAGGGCCCTTACGGTCGGGGACGAGTTTGGATCCCCTAAGAGGCAGCGGTAGGGTCCTGGGCTCTCAGGCCTGCCCCTGTGGCTGCCACCTCCCCTCCCCAGAAGCGCCTCGGGGCCCCTCTTGTGCTCCCTGTGGCACCCCACGTGCTTTTCGCTTCCTCGCAGCAGGCCTGCTGGCTCAGGGCCAATATGACCTGGACCCGCTGCCGCCATTCCCCGACCACGTCCAGTACCCGCACTACAACGACCAGATTGGTAAGGGCCGCCGCCAGCCCCGCCGCGCCATTGGTCGGCCTGGCTCCCGGATGGGCATGGCCCGGTGTGGCAGGCTGCTGGGGGTCCTGCAGTCGCCCCCGGCTCCTCTGCGACACGGTTTGTCCCTGGGGCTGGAGGCTGGCCCGGCCCCCACCCATACCACATTCATCTTTGTTTGCAGACAACCCAGACTACTATGATTATCAAGGTAAGGGCTTGGGGCAGGAGAGGGTGGCGGCGGCCGGCGAGCCCTGGGAGGGGAGGAGGGAACAGACCGGACCCCCGTGCTCCCCCGCTAGCTGAGGTGACTCCCCGGCCCTCGGAGGAGCAATTCCAGTTCCAGTCCCAGCAGCAAGTCCAGCAGGAAGTCATCCCAGCCCCCACCCCAGGTAGGCCCCGCCCCTGCTCTCACGTGCCCCCGCCTCCCTGTCAACCCCAGGAGTGTGGGGAGGTCCCGGGGGTGACCCCCTTCCCTGACAGACCCCTTCCAGCAGCCTCTTCCTGCCTCTCTCTTGACTCCAGAACCAGGACATACAGAGACGGAGCCCACAGAGCCTGGGCCTCTTGGTAAGAGCTTTCCTGACAACTGGAGAAACAGGCACGTCCAGGAGTTGAGGTGGCGGGGGTGGGGGGAAGGGGCTGGCAGGACAGAGACCTTTGCTCTTGCTGGGCTGGGTCCTGCGGGCAACTGGTGGCAGTGGGGATGGAGGGAGCTTGCAGGCCTGCCCTGCTTTAGGCTGGCGTCCAGGCCCCCCGTGGAGCTCTGGGAGACCCCACCCTGTCCCCGGGGGCCTGGCTGGAGGCTGAGTTGGCCAGGGCTCCTCCTCAGGGACACTGGGAGAGGCCAGGAGTGTGCGGGGGTGGGGGCTTCCTCCAGCCAGAGGGCCTGGGGAGTGCGCCTGGCTGGGCGAGGACAGTCCAGAGCCCGGGCCAGCTGAGCGGCGCCCTCCGCTGCCCCAGCCAAGAGCCTGAGAGAGCAAGATGTTGTGAGAAGTTCCATGGGCTAACCTCATGTGGGCCGAGGCGTGTGCTGCCGTGTGGGCTCCCGTGAGCGTGTACGAGCCTGCTGAGTTGGTGTGGACGTTTGTGACCACGCGTGGGTGGGTGCGAATCTGTGCTTGCGTTTTTGAGGGTCTGAATGTGTGCCTCAGTGCAGCTGTGGGTCTATGTGTAAAACCGGGCAGCCCCGGAAGGTCCAGCCAGGCTGTGGGGGGCGCCGGGCTGAGCCTGAGGGTACGGGGGACCTAGCCCCTGCCAGCCAGGTCCGGGTGGGTGAGGTTGGGGCCGCCTCCCCCCCGCTCTGAGCCCCTGTTCTGAGCCCATGCGTCCCCCAGACTGCCGTGAGGAGCAGTACCCGTGTACCCGCCTGTACTCCATCCACAAGCCCTGCAAGCAGTGTCTCAACGAGGTCTGCTTCTACAGGTGAGGGGGCGGCAGCCACGTGGGGCTCTGGGGAGGCGGCTTGGGGTGCAGGATGGCTCCGGCCGGCCGAGGTGGGAGTCTGGGGAGAGAGGGAATCCCAAAGTCGAGCCGACCTCCGTGGCAGAGCCTAGCTGGGATCCCAGGCCGGGCGCCCGTGCCAGGTGCTGCCGGGTGGGGGTGGAGGGGAGCGTGACGGTGGGGCTGAGACCTCCCTGGCCCCATGCCCGCAGCCTGCGTCGTGTGTACGTGGTCAACAAGGAGATCTGTGTCCGCACGGTCTGTGCCCACGAGGAGCTCCTGCGAGGTAGGAGGGAGCCCCTCCCCGGGCTGCCCCGGCCGCACACGTGATGTTTATTCAGCACGTATTATGTGCCTGGGCCCACTCCCAGGGCACCCGAGCTCCCCTCCCCGCGCCTCTCCATCCGCAGAACACCCTGTGGCCGGGGTGGGGGAGGGGCGGCACCCCCATCGCCCATCCTCACCCTGATCTCACCTCCTTCCCGCCCCCGCCCACAGCCGACCTGTGTCGCGACAAGTTCTCCAAGTGTGGCGTGATGGCCAGCAGTGGCCTGTGCCAGTCCGTGGCGGCCTCCTGTGCCAGGAGCTGCGGGGGCTGCTAGGGAGGCTGGCGCCCTGAGCCCGGCCTCCTGGGGTGGGGGCCTCAGGCCCTGCCTGACTGGTGCTTTCTCCCCGTCCCCACCACCCTTTTATTCTGTCAAGAAGTTAGTGGACTGTAGCCCTGGGGTTGCGGGCTGTGGGCCTCGGGCCCCTCCCCCAGCCTGTGGCCAGCCCTGGGGCGCTGGGGGCTCCCCACTGTCCAGTCTTCGCCCCCTGGTTAGGGGGCACCCCAGGCCTCTCTGCGGGACCTGGGCCCCTCTGAGGACAGTCCTCCTCCCGTCCCCCGAGGTAGGCTATGCCCCCCACCCCAGCTGGTCTGCTTGGATTCCCCTACAGCGCCCTGGGCATGGACCGCCTCTGTTTTATACAAAATTAAAACCGGGTTTTTACAAAAGATTCAGAGTCACTTTTTCGGTGAGGAGCAGCAGGGACAGCCAGGTCCCTCCAACACTGCCTGACCACACGAGAGGCCCCCGACCCCTTGGCGAGAAGGGGCTGCCCAGGTCCCTGTGGCTCCTGCAGTCCTGGCCTCCCCTCACCCACCAGCCTCAGCCTCACCCTGCCAGGAAGGTGGGCCATGGCAAGTGTACATGTCTGGGTGTTGCAGGGCCCACGTGGGAAGTCCAGGGCTCCAGGATGCAGCTTTCTCATGACCAGGGACGCTCCATGGGGGCACGAGTCCCTGTCCCAGTCCCAGCTGAGATGGGAGGCTGCCCACGGGGGGGAGTCAGGTGGACGCTGAGATCTAGGGTTTTTATTGGGGAGGAGAGGCGGCTAGCGCCACAGAGATGCCAAAAACGGGGCAAATTATTCTAACACGCCCTTGGACCAGCATGTGGGGGCTGAGCACACCGTCTTGTTCAACCCTCAGAGGCGTACGTAGGGGTACTGTTAACATTCCCATCTCAGAGACAGGGAAACTAAGCCCAGGGACACTAAGAAACCCACCCGAGGGTCCACAGCCATGAGCAGTAGAGCTGTGGCAGGATCTGGCAGCTGGACTTCCCCAGAGCCACCCTGTGAGGCAGGTACCCATTCTACAGAGGGGCACAGCGGGGTTAAGGGGTGAAGCACCTTTACCGGGACCACTCAGCAGAGTCAGGGTGAGATCCCACATTCGTTCCCGAACCTACACCTGTCCACCGTGCTGCCTGGAAGGGCTTACTGTCTAGCTGGGCTCCTGAGGACTGTCTGGAGAAAGGGGCAAGAAGTCTTGGACTGGAAATTGAGCCACGTAGGCTGGGCCTCAGCCCCAAGCCTCAAGAGTTCGATCTGTTAAATGGGCTGGGGGGGCAGGTGCAGTGGATCACGCCTATAATCCCAGCACTTTGGAGGCCGAGGTGAGAGGACTGCCTCGGCCCACAGGTTCAGGACAAGACCAGTCTGGGCAACTTGGCAAGACCTTCTCTCTACCTTAAAAAAAAAAATTAGCTGGGCATGGTGGTGTGTGCCTATAGTTCCAGCTAAAGGCTGAGGCAGAAGGATTACTGGAGCCCAGCAGGTCAAGGCAGCGGTGGCCCTGAGTGTGCCACTGCACTCCAGCCTGGGTGACGGAGTGAGACTCTTGATTCGAAAAAATGAGCTGGGGGCCAGGACCCCAGCGGCCTCTCCACCTGACGTCCTGTGAGGCTGAGAAGTTCTCTACCCAGCGCAGGCCACCCTGCCTCCCCAGACTCCCTCCCTAGAGGGCTCCATCCCTCTCGTGCCAGGCTCCACCTGCTTCCCCTCCCATCTCCTAGGCAGAGAAAGCACACTGACAGTATAGAAAAGGGACACATTTGTACAAACCGATTTTAGAAAATGGAGTCTTATTACAAAAACATAACCGTTCTGAACAATTCACATTGTAAAAAGGTATAAAAATACAGGGACTCTATGCTTTCTGAGAATGTCCTGACAAACACTGAACTAAGAGGAAGCCAGAGTTGGGGCCTGGGTCCCTGACGTCTGGCCTGGGATGCCCTTTTCCCCATGAGCCTTTGCTCTGGGGGCCTGCGCCAGGGATGGCCAGACACAAGGGCTCTCCGCGACCCTGGCTTTGGCTCAGCCACTCTCTGGGAGGACCTAATGTGATCTCGAGGGGCTCATCCCGGGAGCAGGAGCGGGAGCTGGGCTGACGTGGCCTGGAGGCAATGCCAGAACGAAGCTGCTGGATCTGGCCTGGAGACCCTAGCCCAGCTCTGGGAGTCCTGATGGGCCAGACCCTGCGTGGGCTCATTTCTCTACGGGGCCGGAGGGTGGACCAAAGGATGCTGAAGTCCTCCGAAGCTCCTGCTGCAACTGTTCCTTCAGTATGGACACCTGCGGAGGGAAAAGAAGGTAGGGCTACCCCAGGTCCCCAGCCTGACTTCAGAGAAAGGGAGGTCACAGATGAAGGCATTCCTCAAGGCAGCTGGGACTCCAGAGGGACCCATCACTGCAGTTTCAAGAGCTGGGGGGGTGTCCTTCCCTTCTCACTTTGTTCCTTGCAGCAGCTGGGGTCTTTTGACTGTTTGCCACCTCTGGGGGCCGCCCCACTTGCATTTTTTTTCTTTTTTGAGTCAGTCTCACTATGTCACCCAGGCTGGATGCAGTGGCACACTCTTGGCCACTGCAGCCTCAACCTGCTGGCTCAGGTGATCCTTCCGCCTCAGCCTTCCAAGAACTACAGGTGTGTGCCACCGCACCTAGTTCATCTTTTTTCAAAATTATTTATTGTAGAGACAAGGTCTCGCCAAGTTGGCCAGGCTTTGGTCTCAAACCACTGAGCTCAGGTAGTCCTCTTGCCTCGGCCTCCCAAAGTGCTGGGGTTACAGGTGTGAGCCCCAGCACTCGGTCCCACCTGCATTTTTTTTTTTTTTTTTGAGTTGGAGTCTCTCTCCCTCGCCCAGGCTGGAGTGCAGTGGCATGCTCATGTTGAGCTGCTGGGCTCCAGAGATCCTTCAGCCTCAGCCCTCCAAGTAGCTGGAACTACAGGTGTGCGCTACCATGCCTAGCTAATTTTTGGTTTATTGTAGAGATGAGGGCTCACCAAGTTGCCTGGGTTGGTTTCGAACTGGTGGGCTCAGGCAATCCACTGGCCTTGGTCTCCCAAAGTGCTGGGATTACAGGCTGAGCCACCAAGCCCCGCCAGCCACCTTGCGTTCTTTTTTTTTTTGAGTTGGAGTCTCACTGTTGCCCAGGCTGGAGTGCAGTGGCACGCTCACGGCCGCCTCAGACTCGACCTGCTGGGCTCCGGCGATCCTTCCACCTCTGCCTTCCAAGTAGCCGGAATTACAGGCACACACTACCACGCCCGGCTGATTTTTTGATTGATTGTAGAGATGAGGGCTCGCCTGCT